GACAATACAGCCACCAGCTGGAGGCACCTCCAGGGAACAGGACCTTCCCTTTTGGGACCCTACAGCTGACTAAGGGGAACTCAGACTGTGAGCTCCCTACCTGCCAGCCCTCCCAGGTGCTGCTGGCACGGTGTTCCCAGGAGAACGGTGCTGACTCAGAGGCTGAGAGACACAGACACAGCTTGCGCTTCCTGTGGGTGAATTGGGACCGGAACTCCTCTCCCTGCTGGGGATACAGTTTAAACTCTGGGACCCAGAGGTCGGACCTGCAGACCAGATCCCGTGCACCGAGGTCTAGCATTGCCCGGGGCACAGAAGGGATATTTGTGAACAGCCTGCTGAGGTGTGTGTGCCTCCGGGGGCAGATCAGCGTCCTAGAGGGCAACCCTCCCAACAAAGGGAGGCCGTGTGCCCAGCCAGGCCAGCCGTTTCTGCGCAGGGAACCTCCCCCACAGGCATCACAATCCAGGGAGCCTGGGTGACGTGTGGTCCTGGCCTGCTGGCAGAGGCCAGGAGTAGCTGTGGAGTTGGGAGTGGAAAGAAAGCAAGGCCTGCTCCAGAATGCGGGTCTCAGACAGCCCCACCCCCCACAGCAGACTTCTGGCTGAGCGGGGACCATTAGCCTGCTCCTGACACTTTTCCTGGAAGCAGAGAACAGAACTTTGACCCCTTGCTAACGGCCATTTTGGGTGGTGCCAGAGGCCCCCCCACCCCCCCGAACATGGATGCAGGGCATTACCCAAACCCAGCTCCACCCCAGATAATGCAAGAGCTGGATAACAGGCACCAAAATCAACAGAACATACCTGTTCTCCAAAGCAGCGCCACCTACTGACAGGAGACGGCATACAACTGCAACAACCTTTTCCAACGGCACACCACTGACTCATTATCACAGGAGTGGTCGAATCTCACCACAGACATCACCTAATGGCTCAGAAACTAAACAAGGCGTGTGAATACCCAAACAAAAACCTAAAGGAAAGAAACAACAGCTGATCGACATGGGAAGAAATCAGCGAAGGAACTCAGGAAATATGAAGAACCAAACGGAAAACACACCCACAAAGAGGAGCACCAGCCCCCTAGAAACGGACACCAACCAAAATCAGGCAACCAAAATGACATAAGAGGAATTTCAAATGTGGATCATAAGAACACTCACTGACCTGCAACAACAACTCAATAACCAACACAAAGAAACCACAAAAAGCCTCCAGGACCTAGAACAAAAGTTCATTAAAGAAATAGACACAATGAAGAAAAGTTTAACCGAACTCCTGGAAATGAAGAATCAATTCAGGGAACTACAAAATACAGTGGAAAGTCTCAAGAACAGGGTAGATCAAACAAAAGAAAGAATCTCAGAGCTTGAAGATAACACCCTCCAACTAACTAAAGCCATCACAGAGATAGAGCCGAGAAACAAGAGAAAAGAGCAAAGCCTATAAGAGATGTGGGATTATGTGAAGAAACCTAATGTGAGGGTCATAGGTTACCAGAAGGGGAAGAAGACATACCTCAAGGGTTGGACAAGCTATTTGAAGATATAATACAGGAAAATTTCCCAGGCCTTGCTCAAAATCTCGATATACAAGTTCAAGAAGCTCAGAGAACCCCTGGGAGATTCAATGCAAACAGGAAGACGTCACGACATGCAGTCATCAGACTGACCAAAATATCAACTAAAGAGGCCCTTCTAAGAGCTGTAAGACGAAAGAAGCAAGTGACATACAAGGGAAAGCCAATTCGAATAACACCAGACTTCTCTAATGAGACTTTACAAGCAAGGAGAGACTGGGGCCCCATTCTCACTCTTCTGAAACAAAACATGCCCAGCCTAGAATCTTATTCCCTGCAAAACTAAGCTTCATATATGAAGGAGAAATAAAGACATTCTCAGACAAGCAAAGTCTCAGAGAATTCACCAAGACAAGACCAGTCATACAAGAAGTACTCAAAACAGTGCTACGCACGGAACAACATAATAAAACTACAGAATATAAAAACAACCAAAACCCAAAGATTAAAGGCCAGATAATACAATGGCTCAAGAGAGAAATCAAAGCAACAACATCCAACCCAACAGGATGAACAGTAATCTACCTTACCTATCAGTTCTCTCAATAAATGTGAATGGCTTAAAACTCTCCACTCAAGAGACATAGCTGGCTGAATGGATAAGAAAATACAGGCCAAGTCTATGCTGTCTTCAGGAAACACATATAACCTGCAAGGATGCATATAGACTAAAAGTAAAAGGGTGGAGATCAGTATTCAGGCAAGTGAAGCAAAAGAGGCTGGCGTGGCAGTTCTAATTTCAGACGATTTAGTTTTTAAACAACAAAAGTAGTGAAAGACAAAGGGTCATTATATAATGGTGAAGGCACACTTCAACAGAGAGATAACAATTTAAATATATTGCACCCAACTTAGGTGCACCAGTTTTCATAAGCAAACTTACTGGATCTAAGCAAAAGGATTAATAGCAACTCCATAATCACTGAGATTTCAACACCTACTGACGGCACAATACAGATTCTCCAAACAGAGAATTCATAAAGAAATAATGGACTTAAACAAAACCCTGGAACAACTGGGTCTGACTGACATCTACAGGACATTCTACAAATCCACTGAATATACGTTCTTCTCATCAGCTCACGGGACATTCTCTAGATTGACCATCTCTAGAGATTTACCAAAGTAAATCTCAAGAAATTAAAATAATAGAAATCTACCATGTCCTTCTCAGATCTCAGTGGAATAAAAGTAATCACCCTAACAGAAATTCACTTTCTACACAAAACGTGGAAATTAAACACCTCCTACTAAATGATTACTTCATTAAATGAAGAAATCAAGATGGAAATAAAAAAATTCTATACTCCTACACTGCTGGTGGGACTTCAAATTAGTTCAACCTCTGTGGAAAGCAATATGGAGATACCTTAAAGCGATACAAGTGAATCTACCATTTGATCTAGCAATCCCATCGCTGGGCATCTACCCAAAAGATCCAATGACACTCTACAAAAAAGACACCCGCATTCAAATGTTTATAGCAGCACAATTCATAATTGCAAGGCTGTGGAAACAGCCCAGGTGCCCATCAATCCAAGAATGGAAAGGTGGTACATGTATACCATGGAGTACTATTCAGCTCTAAGAAACAATGGTGATATAGCACATCTTATATTTTCCTGGTTAGAGCTGGGACCCATACTATTAAGTCTCCCAAGAATGGAAAAACAAGCACCATATATACTCACCAGCAAATTGGTATTAACTGAGCAGCACCTAAGTGGTCACATAGGTACTGCAGTAATAGGGTATTGGGCAGGGGGGAGGGGGGTAGGTATATACATATATAACGAGTGAGATGTGCACCATCTGTGAGATGGTCATGCTGGAGACTCAGACTTGTGGGGGGAGGGGGGAAAATGGGCATTTATTGACACCTTAAAATCTGTATCCCCATAATATGCTGAAATAAAAAATAAATGAATAAATAACGTGCTGAGAAAACTGGATAAGCATGTGCAGAAGAATGAAACTAAATCCCTATCTACCAACATATTCAAAAATCAAACTCTAAATGGATTAAAGACTTAAACATAAGACTTAAAACTATAAAACTACTAGAAGAAAACACAGGGGAAATGCTTCAGGACATTGTTCTAGGCAAAGATTTAATAGCTAAGTCTTCAAAGGCACAGGCAAAAAAACAAAAATAGACAAATGGGACTATATTAAACTAAAAACCTCTGCACAGCAATCAATACAGTAAAGAGACAAGCTGTAGAATGGGAGAAAATATTTGCAAACTATTCATATGACAAGGGACTAATATCCAGAATACACAAGGAACTCAACAACAAGAAATAATTTGATACAAAAGTGGGCAAATGGCCTGAATATACATTTCTCCAAAATACATATACAAATAGCCAATAAGCACATGAAAAGATGCTTAAAGTCATTAATCATTAGGAAAATGCAAATCAAAACCACAATGAGGTACCACTTCATACCACTAGGATGGAATCTTTTTCAATCAAAAAGATGGAGAATAAGTGTTGGCAAGGATGCAGAGAAATCAGAACCCTCATACAACGCTGATGGGAATGTAAAATGATGCAGCTGCTTTAGAAAACAGAATGGCAGCTCCTCATAAGGTTATACATAGAGTTATCATATGACCTAGCTATTCCACTCATAAGTACACACCTAAGAGAAATGAAAACATATGCAGACACAAAAACTTATACATGAAAGTTCATACCAGCATTGTTAATACTAGCCACAAAGTGGGAAAAACTCAAAGGTCCATCAGCTGACGAGCAGATAGATAAAATGTCCATATCCATACAATGGAATATTACTTAGCAATAAGAAGAAATTAAGCACTGATATACATGCTACAACACAGATGAACCTCGAAAACATTATGCTAAGTGAAAGAACCTAGTCACAAAAGATATGGTGATTCGATCAATCTGAATGTCCAGAGTAGGCAAATTGGTGGTTCTCTAGGGCTGAGTCAGGAAGGAAAAACTGGTGGATGACAATTATGGAATGTGTAGTTTGTTTTTAGGGTGATGAAAATGTTCTAAAATTGACTGTGGTTATGACTGCATATTCCAGTGAATATACTACAAGCCACTGAATTGTATACTTTAAATGCATGAATTGCATGGTATGTTAATTAAATCTCAATAAAGCTATTGCCAAAAGAACTGATTTGGTACTAGAGATTTTGGATCATGTGATGGTGTACTACAATTAGATCATTGGCCAGGCTTCAAGACATAAGAGAATCAACAGTATCCCCTTTTTATAGAAAAATGATGCAGTGAAAAAGCTATCCTTTCCATTAGAATCAAGTCCATAAAATGAAAAGAAAAACCTTTATTTCACCGCTCAAAACAATGAGAGATTTATGTTTTCCAAAATTAAGTGATTTTTTTGGAGGGGTTCCAAAATTGATTAAAAATTACCTTGTGTTTTAGCTTATTAATCTGGATATCCGTTTCAAATTGACTGGTTTTTAAGTCTCCATAGACACTAAACTGTCCATTTTCATATTCATTTAACTTCTTTCTCGTCATTTTTAAAAGGTTCTTCAATCTGCAGGAATGTACAGAATAAGTAAGTCAAAAATTTTAAGATTAAATATTTAATAATTGTTTAAACAGATATCATGTTCTGGCATATAAAAGAAACAAATCTATAAATTATGATCCTCTTTCATTTGCTTCAACCTAACATTGTTTGAAAACATTCTAACATTATAATCTTAGGTAAATAACATGAAGAAAATTTTTATGACATATACAGCAGATAAAGAGTTGATATTGTAACCATACAGTTTTTATAATTTATATCCATTTTAGTATGTTAATATAAAACATTAACCTATTATTAAATATCAGCTATAACCCAGAGATCAGTATACAAGCTAAAGAAAGCATACGTATATACAAACATTTTAAAAAGACCCAAAAATACATTTTGATATCTGTTGACCACAGTCCCTAAGAAGAAAAGAAATTACATGTGAAAAACATCAAGATCATTGGAAGTAGAAGAAGAGACAGGAAAGACAACATCGTTTAAGTCTGAGTTGAGGGAGAAAAGAATATAGGCAGAGACTTAAAGGAAATAAATAAGGAGATAAAGTGCTAAAAATTGAAGACTTTTAAGAAGAGATCTAGAGATCTTTGCTAGTATCCTGTTAACAAAGCGAAAGGGATGCAAAACCATGTAAACAAAGACAACAAGAGACAAATACTGATTAGAATCAGAGAACAAATTTAAGTACTCAGCAAATAAACAGAAAAGCAGAGGGGGGAGGACGGGATGGGTAAAGTGGCTTCTAACATGTACAATACATACTATCTGTGTTATGGACACACTTACAACTTTGACTCAAACTGTACAAAAGCAATTCATGTAACCAAAATATTTGTACCACCATAATATTCTGAAATGAAAAAAAAAAAAAAGCAGCCATAATAGGGGCTTCAAAGACACTGGGAAACATTCCATTTTCTAAATCTGGGTGGTAGAAAGACAAGTGTTCCTTCTATTTTTCCCTCTTTAAGTCATACATGTATTTTTATATGTATGAGAGATATATGCATAATATTTTAAAACAAACAGAAGTTTAACAACATGTATACCTCACATATACATGGGACATACACACAGAAAAGAAATAAATTTCCATGATATATTTTATAATTTTAAAAACACAGACAGAAAGAACATGTAATTAAATCAAGACAATTTTTGATGTTGTTAAAGAATGACACACATATTTAGATATTAAAAGATTTTAATGCTGAAAGGAAGGACACTACCAAAATAAGGAAAGATAACCATAAAACTATTAAAATAGCGTCAGAAAGAAAAACTCAAAGTAGATAATAAAAAGAGTACAGTTGGCATATATGCAAAAGGCATTGCCATTATTGTTTTCAAAAAATCATTAAAGAGTAAGTGTATTATTTTGGCCACTGGAAAAGAGTTTCAGATTGTGTTTTAAGTTCTTGAAATAAATTTTTAAATGGAATAATTTATTTATAAAAATGGAGATATAGAATGAATTTTCATTTAGGTTTTAATAAAGTAAAATTATAGTTAAATGAATTAATAGATGAGATGATCTGAAATAGTAAAATCTTACCCGGATAATTCTTTTTCTAATTCATCATTTTTCTTCATTTCTTGATCCAAGTTATATTCCAGAGATTGTTTTAACTCTGTAAGTTTCTTTAAGTCTTCCTTTTCATCCTCACACTTTGAAAAAAAAATTTTTTTTTAATTATGTTTAAAATCTAGAGATACTTTTCTTTCTTAAATATATTATTTCTCATCAGTTCATGAGTAATATGTGTTTGGACAGATTTATAAAATGCAATTTATAAACCTGATGCCAATAAAGACAGATTTCCAATCAAAAACACTTCTTAAAACTGCTGAAAATGATTCATACTCTCATCATTATTTTTTCTGGAATTTAAACTCCCAAAATTTATTTTTAAAAGTAGTGGTTTTTATACATAAAATGCTAAGTGTTAATAAAAATTTTTTAGAAGATTAGTTATGTTTACATGTTAATTTTCAAAGATGCCCTAGTAACATCGTCAGTAATAGTTTAAGATATTCCAGAATTTGTTATACCTTCCTAAGACAATTTCTGGATAACTCCCATATGGTCCCCATTATATTTTTGATTGTCACCTGACTTGAGGATGAGCTAAATACCCTCATTCTCTGTAAACATTCTTCCATGGGATTCAATTTTTCTTGTCTTAATAACTATTTCTCTTGAAATAAAGTTTAAGTCTTCTCTATAACAAACAAAAACACAACTTTTGCCTAATTCTTGTGGCTTTTCTGTCATCCTGCTTCTCCCCTTTCATTGGATCCCAAAATTCTTTAATAATGGTCTTATCCAGAGATCTAATTTTTCATCACTTGTCATCGCTTCATTTGTGTTCTTTTATACTAAAATCTGATTTTTAATCCCATAATTCCAATAAAAAAAAACTCTGAGGGCCTTCAGGGCCACCCTGTTCTTTAGTCCTTCATGTGCTTTACCTCTCAGCACCAACTGCCAGCACTAACCACACCCACCCTCTGCTCCCCTGACCACAATGCATTTCTAAATGCAGCATCCCTGATGTTGAGTCCTGTCCCTCACTATTCTTCTTTTTAAATTCTCTCAGAGCTCCTTAAAGCTCGGGACTTCAACCCAGATTCCCTAGCCTACCTTTCCAGCCCCAAGCTCTTTACTGCCGGCTCCTCCTTCCAGTTCGCTACTCACTGATAATATACTCAACCATACACCTGTCAACCATTCCTGGTATATACAGCTACTAGTCTACATTTGATGTTGATTCCTATCAATGTTATTTTGAAAAGTTGTGTTATTTTCTAATCCTGGGGGGGTACCCCGACTCTTAGGATGTGGACCAGCATACTTTGTCTTTTTTTAAATAATGAATGAGGGTCAGATTATCAATTGTTTGCCTTTGCTTTCTTGTGAATAATTTCCTTGTCCACAGTCTTATTGTAAAATTTCCTTCAGATGCACACTCAACTATATCACTTGGAGACTTTTGTCAACTAGAGTTCTCTTATCTTCCCAATCCAGATTCTTCACCACAAAATTGTGTCCTTCAAATATCTTAACCCAGGCAATCTCTGGCTTAAGAATTCATGAGATGAGAACCTCTGGAAGAAGTTAAGGGGTATTGACTGAGTTGGCTGAAAGCTGTTTCTTCTCTTTTCTTTTTTTGAGACAGATTCTCACTTTGTTGCCCAGGCTAGAGTGAGTGTCGTGGCATTAGCATAGCTCACAGCAACCTCAAATTCCTGGGCTCAAGCAATCCTCCTGCCTCAGCCTCCTGAGTAGCTGGGACTACAGGCATGCACCATGCCCAGCTAATTTTTTCTACATATTTTTAGTTGGCCAATTAATTTCTTTCTATTTTTAGTAGAGACAGGGTCTCACTCTTGCTCAGGCTGGTTTTGAACTCCTGACCTTGAGTGATCCTCCTGCCTCGGCCTTCCAGAGTGCTAGGATTACAGGTGTGAGCCACCACATCCGGCCAGAAAGCTGTTTCTTATGAAAAATTTGATTCACAGGGTGGACTTCAAAGTGGCTAACAATTCTAAGCCACATTCCTGACTCATTTCTATGGGAATTTATTAATACAAATTTTCTAATTTTAATACCTTAATATATTCATGTCTGACATACATGTAAGCAAACATATTCTGGCACTGTCATTCACAGAAGACTACTTATCAATATATTGTCATGTCCCTTGTATGAAAAGAATTCTAATAAAATGGTAATAATTTATATGAAGCCTAGAAAAATAACTTTTCAATGTTTCCTTGGCCACAAAGGCCAGTCAACAACAATGTTGTAGTTCCCCCATAGGTGTATGTGTACAGAATTGACTTAAAGAAACTAGTTGGTAGGAGCATTTACCTCCGTGCTCCAATTTAGTATTCACAATGCAATCTTCTGATCTTCACTCCTACAAAGGAAAGCATGAATGACAGGGAAATCCTGTTCTGCTTGGTAAACAGTGATATAGTTTTCACCATACATCAAAAAATTGGTATCCTAGAATACACATCAATCTTTTCTGAGATTGGACTGTGAAGTCTTTGAAAGGCTGATGAACACAGGTGAATGGAAAAAAACTAGTTTTTGAATCTGCAATGCTAAGAGAACTACGTTAACTCTGTAATGTCCTGCAGAAGCGACCATTTCTACTTTTTCACTGGCATCTCTTTTCATTTTTAAAATTCAGAGAGAGAAAAACATTCCTTTTGGGGAGGAAAATGCTTGTAATAAAACGACCTAGTACTCATTCTTGATGGGGAATACAAATTACAATCTTAAAAGCAATTCATTGTCAAAATCTCACTGAAGGATTTAGATTATAAGAAAAACTCACAATTCTAGATCAAATCATTATTCAAATTTCTTCCCAGAATTTTATAAGGTATTAGAAATATGAGCAGGGACTCAAGCAGCTGTGCACCAGTGTCCACACCAGCATTATCCACAATAGCCAAAAGTTGGAAATGACCCAAATGTCTATCTATGGATGAAGGGATAAACAAAATATGGTATACATAAACTACTAGGCCTGGCTCAGTGGCTCATTCCTGTAATCCCAGCACTTTGTGAGGCTGAGGCAGGAGGACCATTTGAGACCGTAAGTTAGAGACCAGCCTGGGCAACATACTGAGATCTGCCTCTATAAAAAATGTTAAAAATTATCCAGGCTTGGTGGCACAGGCCTATACCCCTAGCTACTCAGGAGGATGAAGCAGGAGAATGGCTTCAGCCCAGGATTTTTTTTTTTCTTCCTGAGACAGAGTCTCACTTTGTTGACCGGGCTAGAGTGCCGTGGCATCAGCCTAGCTCATAGCAATCTCAAACTCCTGGGCTCAAGCAATCCTTCTGTCTTAACCTCCCAAGTAGCTGGGACTACAGGCATGAGCCACCATGCCCAGCTAATTTTTTCTATATATTTTTAGTTGGCCAATTAATTTCTTTCTATTTTTCGTAGAGACAGAGTCTCGCTCTTGCTCAGGCTGGTTTCGAACTCTTAACCTTGAGCGATCTGCCTGCCTCGGCCTCTCAGAGTGCTAGGATTACAGGCGTGAGCCACTGGGTCTGGCCCAGCCCAGGATTTTGAAACTGCAGTGAGCTATGATCATGTCATTGCACTCCAGCCTGGGGAACAGAGTAATACCCTGTCTCTAAAAACAATAAATAAATACTGTTTTTAGAGTATCATAATCTTTTTTTATTAAAATTTTGCCACCAAAATCATTAATTTCATGAATTCACTCAACTTCTATAAAATCAAGAAGACTTGCACTATAAGTAGCAAGTACTATCAACATGAAGGCAATAAATATTTTTGTCAATGAGACTTTTTATATTTTCCAAAATATTCTTACCTCCTCCTCAGCCTCCAATAGCTGGACTACAGGCATGCGCCACCATGCCCGGCTAATTTTTTCATATATATTAGTTGGCCAATAATTTCTATTTATAGTAGAGATGGGGTCTCACTCTTGCTCAGGCTGGTTTCGAACTCCTGACCTTGAGCGATCCGCCCACCTCGGCCTCCCAGAGTGCTAGGATTACAGGCATGAGCCACTGCGCCCGGCCCAAAATATTCTTATATATAAAGAGATCCCAACTTATGATGGCCTGACTTACAATTTTTTGGCTTTACAATGGTGTGAAATCATTGTAACTTTGACACACTTAAAATGGCTCAACTTAAAAAATTGTTTGACTTTACAATCGTTTGAAACCATCACAATGTCAATGTATTTTGAATTTTGATTCTTGGTCTTTTCTTAGGCTAGTGAGAAATTGTGAATATGTGGTACATGAGATATACTTTATTATATAAAGTTATTATATGCAATAATATACTATATATTATATAAAGTATTATATATATATACACTTTATTATAAGACAGACTTTGTATTAGATGATCTTACCCAACTATAGGCTAAAGTAGTGTTGTGAGCATGTTTAAGGTAGGCTAGGCTAAGCTATGATGTTTGTATCATATTAAATATTAGGCATATTAAACACATTTTCTTCATATGATATTTTCACCTTATTAATACAGTGGCTTTATTGGGATGTAACCCCATCCTAAATCAAGAAACATGTACACTACAGGTTGAGCATCCCTAATCTGAAACTGTGAAATCCAAAATCTTAAACTTTTTGAGTGCATGCATGATGCCACAAGTAGAAAATTCCACACCTGACCTCATGTGACAGTTCACAGTGAAAACACAGTAAGAACTTTGTTTCATGCATAAAATTATTTCAGAACATTGTATAAAATTACCTTCAGGCTATGTGCATAAGGTATATACAAAACATAAATGAATTTTGTGTTTAGACTTAGTCCCATCCCCAAGATACTTTATTTTATATATATATATATGTATATATATATATATATACATATATATATATATATATTCATTCCAGAGCCTACAGATAGGCTATTATATCATATATAATATTCCAGAGCCTACAGATAATTATATAATATATATACTCCAGAGCCTACAGATAGGCTATTATATCATATACAATATTCCAGAGCCTACAGATAATTTTGTATTTTTGAATAAAAAGACATTTGTACATTCCTAAAAAAATACAATATTCCAGAATCCACAAAAATCCACAATCTGAAACACTTTTGGTTGTAAGCATTTTGGATAAGGGATACTCAACCTGTACTACTAGAGAAATAAAATTTTCAGTATGACAGAAATTAAGATATTGACTTACTGAACTTGCACTTAACAAGTTTTTCTGAAGACGCTCAATTTTGTCCGCTTGCTTTTTGATTGTAACTTTTAACTTGCAATTTTCTTTTTCAAGCCTAAAATGTATATTTTAAAAAATTATTCTCACAGATACATTTTTAAAATATCATGTAATTTCGAAACAAACATTTGAATGTATAATTACATAAATTCTTAAGGATTTGAAAAGGACGTAATTTGGCAACTATCATTTTCTAGATCATTTGTAGATAACACAAAATTTAGAGTTAATGTACAAAAACTGTGCATTTCAAAATAATTTAAAGCTGAAATTTTCCCTTGCCTTCACAGAGATGTACTTATTATCATAACTGATACAATTCTCAAACTACACTGCTTATTTGCTTTATAAATACTCAAGTTATTTTGTGTGCTTCTTTCAATTGTACTTTTGCATGTGATCCTGCGTCTTCTCAGCACATCGTACAGCCTCTGCATGTTGATCCCGTGCTTCTTCCAACTAAAACAAAGAATAAAAAAAAAAAAAACACTTTACTAATAATCAAGTACAAAACTGCTTATCACCTGTTTTAGTAACTAAGTTATATTGGAACACAGTCACACCCTTTCAATCTGTATACTGTTTTGGCTACTTTTGTGCTGTAACTGCAGAATGGAATCGTTGCAATGATCTTACAGCCCACAAAGCCTAAAATAATATATCTGGCCCTTTACTAAAAAGTTTACCAACCTTGCTCTAAGACTAAAACACAACATTATTCTTCTTCTCAAATTATATTTTATCAGATTCTCAAATTTACAAAATTGTTAAAATAGGGGAAGATGGGAAATTACAGTAAGCATGTATATTTTTGAATCCCAAGTACTACCACATCAACCATAATTTTAAATATTTATATATGTGAGTGACCATGGCTATGCCAGTGATTATAAAAGTTAAAATTTATATCATGACATACTAGGTGACGACCACGTTTCATGAAATAGTTTGAGCGGGAGAATCTACACAGAAGCCAGAAGACCTGGTTCTGAAACCCAGCTTCACCAGTTCCTAACTGTGTGACCTTGAGCAAATAAACTTTCTGTGTCTCAGTTTGTTCATCTGTAAAATGGAGAGAATAATAGTATCTACTTCACTGGGACGCCGGGAACATTAAACTGGGGAATATATGCCAAGTACTTAGAAGAGTATGTGGCCCATAGTGAGCTACATATAGTATTTGCTATGAGCATTACTATTTTTATATTTTAGGCAGGTGGCATGCCAATGAAAGTGGCCTCCTACAGTTGCATTGAATCATTCTTCATACCACCCAAAATGGCAGCAATGGGCAGCCTGAGGCCCAAATACATCCCCAGTACTTCATAAAACTGTCACTAGTTTCACTAGTCAACAGTACTTTTGTGCACTTATAATCATTTATAGCTGGCTGGGTGCACTCAAGCCTGTAATCCTAGCACTCTGGGAGGCCGAGGCAGGCAGATTGCTTGAGGTCAGGAGTTCAAAACCAGCCTGAGCAAGAGCAAGACTCTGTCTCTACTATAAATAGAAAGAAATTAATTGGCCAACTAATATATATAGAAAAAATTAGCCTGGCATGGTGGTGCATGCCTGTAATCCCAGCTACTCGGGAGCTGAGGCAGCAGGATTGCTTGAGCCCAGGAGTTTGAGGTTGCTGTGAGCTAGGCTGACGCCATGGCACTCACTCTAGCATGGGCATCAAAGCAAGACTCTGTCTCAAAAAAAAAAAAATTGGCCAACTAAAAACACATAGAAAAAAATTAGCCGGGCATGGTGGCGCGTGCCTGTAGTCCCAGCTACTCGGGAGGCTGAGGCAGAAGGATCGTTTGAGCCCAGGAGTTTGAGGTTGCTGTGAGCTAGGCTGATGCTATGGCACTCTCTAGCCCTAGCAGAGTGAGACTGTCTCAAAAACAAGAGAAAAAAAAATATATATATATATATAATTTATAGCTTATTTTCCTCTCTTAAGTGGGCAACAATCACATACTGCAATGCACAGAGCACTTCCTGGACTGAGTAGTACAGAGCTTACGTGACCAGCAGAGACAGGCAAAAGCCAGTGACCTGAAAATATTGTACTCCATTGCTAAATCAAGGTTCCTGAATCAATTCATTTCCAGAAATTGTTTAGATTGGGCTGCTTTAACAAGTACTCTGATAAGTAGGTTAAGGTTATGCGTTACAGCAGATCAGAAAAGACAGGAACTCAGAGCTTTTCAGTTGGTAAAGTGGTATCAATCTATAAATTCCAGTAGGGGCTACATAATGAAGGAAGGTAAATTAAGACTTTTCTTTTCACAGTGAGAAACGGATGAGAATGTGATTAAATAATTCTCCTCTATTAGATTACTTGGCATTAATTTTATATTTAATTGCTTAAAATACATTTAGAATAAAACCTTTACTATGTCAATATCTCAAAGAAGAAATCATTGGTATGATATAAAGTATTTTATTTCATCTTAACAACTCTTAGGCTAAAATATTTTTAATTTATAAAAGGATGAATGACTTCCCTTAGGTGAATTTATAATTATACAAGATTATCTCTCATAAAAAAAATAAAAGCAACATAAAATTAAGGGCCAAATTGTTCTGCACAGACTAGACAATAAGCACTGAAGTGTAAGGTGCAAGAGAGAACAGTCAGAGAGAGCTTTATGAAGGGGAAATTGTGCACCAATCTGAATGAATGAAGCTAGAAGAACAGACACAGAACAGGCAGGAAGGACAGCATGAATAAGACAGAGAGATGATGATATCAGCCCAATTAACTCTGAGGATAAGATCCAATGGCAGGGAAATAAAAATATATGTCCACACAATAACTTGTAAATGAATGTTCACAGCACCATTACTCATAACAGCCAAAAAAGTAGAAACGATCTAGAGGTCCATCAACTGATAAACCTCTAGCTGGTGTAGCCATATGATAAAATATTATTTGACAATAAAAAGAAATGAAGTACTGATACGTGCTACAAGACAAATGAACCCTGAAAACATTATGCTAAGCGAAATGAGCCAATCATAAAGGACTACATATCATATGATTCCATTTATAGGAAATGTCCAGAACAGACAAATCCACGGAAACACACAGTAGTTGGTGGTTGCCTAGGACTGGGGAAGGTGGAGGGACATGAGAGGGATGGAGGGTGTTGGTGACAGCTGAGGGATGCAGGGTTTCTTTCCACGGTGATAAAAATGTTCTGAAATTGCTTGTGGTGATGGTTACAGAACACTGTGAATACACGAACAGGCAGTGAGTTGTATACTTTAAATGGGTGAATGGTATGGTATGTGAACTATATTTCAATAAACTTGTTTTTAAAAGTCCAATGGCAAGATCTAGGTAATTTTAATTTTCCATTCTGTAGGTACATATTAATACTATATGTGACCTGAATATTTCTATGCTTTTACAATATATTTAAAATGAAAGGAAAATGAAGGAAATGCCTTAACTTTTTAAATAGTTTGTAAATTAACCAAAAACATTTGCATTTTAGAAAACAGTATAATAGCCTTCCTGTACAAGTTAATCTGAAATCCATGAAATAAATATATACAGATTCTATATTCATTCACAAAAGTAAAGATAAGAAAAAAGACAGGCCGGGCGCAGTGGCTCACGCCTGTAATCCTAGCTCTCTGGGAGCCCGAGGCGGGCGGATTGCTCGAGGTCAGGAATTCGAAACCAGCCTTAGCAAGAGCAAGACCCCGTCTCACTATAAATAGAAAGAAACTAATTGGCCAACTAATATATATAGAAAAAATTAGCTGGGCATGGTGGCGCATGCCTGTAATCCCAGCTACTTGGGAGGCTGAGACAGAAGGATCGCTTGAGCCCAGGAGTTTGAGGTTGCTGTGAGCTAGGCTGACGCCACGGCACTCACTCTAGCCTAGGCAACAAAGCAAGACTCTGTCTCAAAAAAAAAGAAAAAAGACAAATTGATCAACATTTATGTGTACATATGGAAATAACATTCATCGGAGATCAAGCAGGTAGGAGGGGGGAGGAAGGGATGGGTAAATTCGCACCTAATGGGTACAATGCACACTATCTGGGGGATGGGCACACTTATAACTTTGACTCAAAGGGTACAAAAGTAATTTATGTAACCAAAATGTTTGTACCCTTGTAATATTCTGAAATTTAAAAAAAAAAGATAATTTTCTGGAACATTCCATTAAACATGATCCTCTGATCTGTTTAATCTGGCTTGCCTTACCGTGGCAATAGAGAAATCACTAAAAACTACTGTTTAACAAGAAAAAAGTCTCTGAGAAATGATACATAATTCTCAACTTTCCTAATGGTAAATATTAATACTATAAGAAAACATGTATGTAATTATAAGAAAAAAATCAGAGTGAAAATGAAAGTTTAAGAAATAAGTGCATTATAAAGATAACAAAATTGTAATAAGATTAACTATAATGAAAATAAAAAAGAAAACCGTAATATCCTGAAACACTTTGTATTATTGAACCAGCTTTAGATTAATTGTTGACATGTTAATCTACATGACATGTTAGGATTTCATACATACTTGACTTCTGATTTGACCTAATTTCTTCTTTAAATCCTGTGTCTCATCTTCTAAATTAAGGCGATAACGCGATGTAACCTCTAGGGAAGCCTCTGACATAGACTGCTTCTTTAGGGTATCAGCCAGTTCTTGTTGTAGTTGTCTCACAACTACCTGATAAGATAATTTTTTGTTACTGATTTTATAAATCACCTTATTATTAAATTATGTCAATAATGTTTAACTCTAACATATATAATTTGAAAAATAACACCATATACATCAGTTCACCTTCTGTGTACACAGTCCTGCTTATTACTGAATTCAGTGAAGGACAACAGAGGGTGTTACCTTCCTGTCAAATTAGTATTCTGCTATTTAGACAACAGATTCAGCCCGATATTCATCCTGTCTCTTGGTGAATCTGCAATGCTTAACAACCTACTGAAGTCTCAAAAAGAAATGAGGATATGGGGGGTGGGGACTGGTGGTGGTAAATTCTGCACTGTGAGATGTTTTCCCTCTTTTTCATTAGAAGCTCAAATCAACCTCAGAGTTCTTCATATATTTAATATTCAACCGCATGCTCAAATCCTTCCAGTAGATTCCAATCTCAGAAAGCAAAATTCTAATGGCCCTAAAGGCCGTAGGTAACCTCCTTCCATGCCCTCCTCTTGCCCTCAACTGTTATAATTCTCTCCCCTACTTACTCCATTCCCACTATACAAGAATCCTGACAGCCTCATTAGTCTGAAAATGGACATCCAATGCCAAACTATTAGTAATAAATCACAGATAGCTACAATTATCTTTGTTGTGGACAAAGTTATATACAAATAGTAGTCATTGAGCCTTGAAATAAAAATTATTTGTAAAGATATTCATGGCAAATTATAGATACCAGTGAGAAGATTATATCAAATATGACTTTGCTAAAATTTACCACATGTCCCAAGTTATGATTTAATAAAAGGTAGATTCCTTTAAGGAATTGAGAGGTCTTATAAGAATACATAAATTGAGATTGAAATATTTTTCAGATTTAAGTCAAATTAACATGAAAAAGTAAAATTATACCAACTAAAATATATAAAGCTACTGAAGGAAAAGTATTACAAGATACAGCAATACAATTTAGTTCATCTGGGAAATGTGCAATTAACTGTCAAAGTAACCCACTTAATTGAATCTTAATTTTGAAATGCTCATTTCAGATATGAGCATTTCTGTTTATCAACTTCATCATGGTCTTATGACGTGCCAACATAAGGACATTAAAAGTGTTATTTCAGGCCAGGGATGGTGGCTCACACCTGTAGTCCTAGCACTCTGGGAAGCTGAGGTGGGAGGATCGCTTGAGACCAGGAGTTTCAGACCAGCCTGAGCAAGAGCAAGACCCTGTCTCCACAAAGAATTAGCTGGGCGTGGTGGCATGCACCTGTAGTGCCAGCTGCTCCAGAGGCTGAGACAGGAGGAGCCCAGGAGTTTTAGGTTGCAGCAAGATAGGCTGACGCCACCACACTCTAGCCCAGGCAACACAATGAGAATCTGTCTCAAAATAAAATTGTTCTTTCAGGAGTATTAAGACAACACTGTTAATATTAGTCTATATCTATTAACAATTTATAATTTAACCTCTTAAGATTTCATAGGTGACATAATGTTTTATGCAATCAACTCTAACTGTCATTTGGTGGAAACAAGGTATGTTTCTAAGCTGATATAGTAAATACGTTTCTCATCTATGTTTATATTCAACTAATTCAACATTTATCCATAACCAAATATTACTCTAAATGTTCTTTCAGGAAGTCTGAAAAATATTTCTTTCTTGATACTTACTTCTCTTTCTGCTTTCTCATTTTCATACTGATACTGTCTTTCTTTCAAATGATTACATTCATTGATTAACTCTTTATTTCTTTCTTGTAGCATAAGACTTTGCTTCTCACTCTCAGTTTCAAGTTTTTTGACTATTGCATGAAATTGGTCCTGAATATTAATTACTGTCTTTTCTTTATTATCAGCTTTGTTCTGAGCATCATCCAGTTGCTGTCGAAGCAACATATTTTCACTTTGCAGTTGAGATAATCTCTCCTCTACAGATTCCTGCTTTCCAATATATTTATTAACTTTACCTTGTTCATTCTGATACATTTGTTCAATTTCCTTCATTTGACTCTGTGTTTGGCTAAGGTCTCTTTGTACACGTTCTAAAACCAAAGTCTTTTCTCTGAGAGCATCTCTTGTGTGATGGAGCTCAATTTCTAAGCTATTGAATTTGCTTTCAGTTTTGGAAAGTTGTTGAGAAAGAATCTCATTGTTATCTTTTAGGTTAGACACATCAAAATTCATTTTATCCTGTAATCGAAACCACTCCTCTCTTGCTCTCTGGAAAGCAAGTTCTAGGTCTCTTTTTGACGTCTGACTTTGATCACAATCATGTATAGCAGCAGCCAGTCTAGAACGGTATGATTCAACTTCTGTTTCCAGTCTTTCCTTAGTTTGTTTTTCATTCTCCAGTTTAGAATTCAGCATTGTATTCTCAGCTGTCAGAACACTAAGTTGTCCACTATACTGGGATATTGTTTTTGTTAATGTTTCCTCATTCAGTTTTATAGTCTTTTGAAGGTCATCATTCTTTTCTTTCACAATTTCAATATCCTCAAAATATTTCTTTTCCTTTTCCTGGTTCTGAATTTTTATCGTGTCTATTTCCAGTCGTAGCAAGGCAATTTCATCCTGCAGCATGTGATTTTTATGCAACAGGTCTTCTTCTTTTTCATGACTATGAGAAACCTAAGTAAAACAAAGGAAACTTTTAGCTAGCATTCAAGAACAATGACATATCATAATTTCCTATGAAATTAAAGAATAACCTGTATGTTTATACAATGAAAGTATTATAATAAGTGGATATACAAATGGAAAAATCACTGGATCAAAACCTCAAACCTTACAGAACATAAATTCCCAAGAGTTCAAAAGTTTATTTGAATCACTGCATGTAATAAATAAACCACTACAGAATTTTTTTTTTTTAACTGTGGGAATTGTCCTAGTAGACTATAGAATTTTTAAGAATCTCAGAATTGGAAATGTCTTTCTCTGAATTACAACAAAACCAAAGATATAAAATAAAAGATTAATAAATTTGACTACATTAAAAAAACTGCGTTTATATTCTGATAAATAACCTACACACTACCCAATAGTAATAAGACCCTTAGCTCTGCATACATTAATATTTGAACAGATGAATTTCCCCAAGTTGTAAGTTCCTTTTTCTTGAGAATATTCTATAGATATTCTACTTTCTTAACATTTTTATAGTCAGTGGTAAGAATTATATTTATTGATAAATCTGGCAAGGTACTAAGCACTTCTACATACATCAATGAACTCATTCTGAAAAGGAGAGGTTAAAAATGTAAGCGATCTGCAGGATTTTCCCCAAATCCTCTGACTATTTCTAGGGCTCCTCCACCAAATCACAGCTACTTCTCTGGTATAAACATATAAACACAAAAGAAGCCTTTGATTTCAAAACACTAATGGTAAATAAGATAAAATTTATAGAGTTCTTCTTAGAAAATCATGAGATTATTTGTTATTATAATAATTTTTATTTCTTTTTCATGTTTAAAACAATAGTAAATGTGAAATAGGGGGAAATACACCGAACTATTTTATTAGGAATAAAACACTTATCAATAAATTATCACTGTGTATATTTATGGCATATCATTCTTTTCAAAAGTTCTTTGTACTGAAATAATATACTACTTGGAGCAAACTGTTAACTCTTCTCAAAAGAGAGGAAAATGAAATCCAAAATATGGTCTCTAAGCTGGCTCTACTTTTCCTCCTTACCTGGTGGGAGTAATAAATCAATCTCTACATTAATATATCTAGAGCATCAAATTACTTCTAAAAACTAGAACATTTATTATTAGTAGCAAGGGCTTGGAGATTATGGAGAGATCATCAATTCCCAGGGAAAATGTTAAAAAGTTTTCCCTTGAATAAGGACACTGTGAATGTCACTACTTGACTGTACAGACAAATGGAGCTGAATTAAGAACATTATTCATCCAATGTGCCAAAAATGCCACCTCCACCACCAACCCCAAAATATGGTTTAAAAATCCTCTACATTCATATAGTTGGGTTTTTAAATATATACACATACAAATATAGAAACACACATACTTGAAAATGACTATGAAAATACCTCAGAATTCATTTTCTTTTGAGCCATTTCTATCTCCTTTTGTTTGCAAAGGTGATTTGTCAGAATCCCATCTTGTAATATTCTGGCATTCTGTTCTCGAGAAAGTTGCCTCTGAGTGTCATCTCGCTCTTGTACTACCTACAGATACATTAACTTTTTGATCTAATAGCACTGAAAAAAAGTCTAAAAGGTTAATTAAGAGAAGAACCCTTAAAAAAATCTGTCAAAAAGTAGCCTATTAAAACATAAGCACTTTTATTTATTCCTAAAAAAATTTAACTCCATAAATTATAGGTAATTTCATCAAAAAGCAGAAACGTTTCTTAAATATAGTCAGATATAGTATTGTGATATAAAATTTCTTTACAAAACATTTTAGTTTCATTATAATTTTAAAAGTAGCCTATACTTTAACATAACAATGCCTAAATCAACATTTATATTAGTGATTAAATTCAACTTACCTTCCATTCCTTCATTCAGAAAATATATACTGAGCATTAAATGACAAGATTTATAATAACTGTAGCTATTAATGTCGTAGTAAATTTTTAAGATGAAATAACATTTTTGTTTGTTTTAAACTGACATTATATATATTAAATCAAAGGGATAAGTAATATTGATGAAATAAATTAGAATTATAAAATTTTTACCAAAGATTGATTTACCTGATCCAAATTATTTCTTACAGTCCTCAATTCCATATCTAGTGTTCTGAGAGTGAGTTCAAGTTCTTGTTTTGCTTCAACTTCTTTTCTATATTGCTCTTCTTTTCTTCTTAACTGTTCCCTATTTTTCTCATACAACATATCAGCATTCCTTCTCTTCTCTTCTTCTTGTTTTAAGGTAAATCTGCAGTTAAATATACTTATCTTAACATTTATTTTGTTAAACAATAAAGGGTTCATTATGTGATCTCATTCTTCATATGTTGGTTTAATTTCTATGTTCTTAAATATTTTTCCTTTCTAGTTCTTAGATTTTTAATTTCTCACATCAATGTCTTCCAAAGGACATATATACTGTAAAAGTAGTGATGAAAGAACATTCTGCTAATTCATAAGTTTCTGTTACTAATAACTCCAGGAAATATTATGGAAAAGAATACTAGAAATTATTCTGTAAAGTTGTAAATTGAAAACTACCTTTTTCTCCCAGAGAGTCATAATTATACTTCAATTAGGACAGATCATTTAGAATTAACTAGTTAAAAAGAAGGTACTGCCGGGCGCGGTGGCTCACGCCTGTAATCCTAGCACTCTGGGAGGCTGAGGCGGGCGGATTGCTCGAGGTCAGGAGTTCGAAACCAGCCTGAGCAAGAGCAAGACCCCGTCTCTACTATAAATAGAAAGAAATTAATTGGCCAACTAATATATATAGAAAAAAATTAGCTGGGCATGGTGGCACATGCCTGTAGTCCCAGCTACTTGGGAGGCTGAGGCAGTAGGATTGCTTAAGCCCAGGAGTTTGAGGTTGCTGTGAGCTAGGCTGATGCCATGGCACTCACTCTAGCCTGGGCAACAAAGTGAGACTGTGTCTCAAAAAAAAAAAAAAAAAAAATTTACAGTGTAAGATAGCACATTCAGATGTCTTTCATACCACATGTATCTGCAGATTACTATAATCTAAGACTAGGCTAAATCTAACATCTGTTACCCCACACTTTCTATGTTTCTTTTCAGGTACTACTTTCAACTTATCTTGTTGATTATTATGTATTTTATAAACAATTTTAAAATTTTGGAACAACACAGGTCTTAATATTTAATTAAACAATAAAGAATATGTGTTTTTACCACACGTGTAGTCGAGGATATCTGGGTAAAAAAAAAAATTAAAAAAAAAAAAAAAAAGAATATGTGTTTTCATCATAGAACTCTAAACTACTTTTACCTGCATAGGAGAGAAAGATATTGAATAAACTAATCATCAATTGCTTTCGACTTTGCTTTTTATTTTATATATATTAAGAATGAATTTGTTTTCTCTCAACTCTTTCATTACTATCTTAAAAAAAAAAGAATGAATTTGTATAAAATTTTTTCTAAAAATTATTCTGGGTTGAGAAAAATAGCCATTTCATATTCTGTTGGTAGAATTATAAATTAATATAAACTTTCTTGAGAATAACTTTAAAATGTTGATCAAAGACCTTTCAAAAAGGTTCCTATATTTTAATCAAGTAATTCTATACTTAAGAGATTATTCAAAGTAAATACTTAGAAATGTAGAAAAAGATTTATATAAAAGATATTCCTTGTAGCATTAATTATAATACAAAAAGTTTTAAAAACCCCAAATTCAATGCCTTAAATAAATAATGAGAATTCCATATGGCTGACTTCCATATAATCATTACAATGATGACTTAGAAAAATATATGTAACTAATTATTGGAAGTATTCACAGATAAGAACTTGTTATGTTATTTCCTTCTAAGAATTTCATTTTCCACAGGACTAAGAAGTTTTCTCCTCTATTAAAGCCAAGAAGGTAAGTCAGCAATATAAAAATTCTGTTACATATCTTTAAGAAAACAGATAATTCAAATATTTTTTTCTTTTTTTTTTTGAAAGACAGCAAGTTCTCGCTTTGTTGCCCAGGCTAGAGTTGAGTTGCCATGGCATTTCAGCTAGCTCCACCAACAACCTTCAAAACTCCTCGGGTCAACAATCCTTGCTGCCTCAAGCTCCAAAGTAAGCTGGGGACTACAGGCATGCACAAAACCATTTACCCGGCTAATTTTGTCTAGGGTCATCAAGACTTAGTTGCCAACTTACATTTCGTTGCGTATTTATGAGTAAGGGAGATGGGGTCTTGCTCTTTGCTCAGGCTATTTCGATAATCGCTGACCTTTGAGCAATCCAACCCCCACCTTTGGCCTCCCAGAGTTGCTTAAGGATTACAGGGTGAAGGGGCAACTGCGGGCCCACAGCCCAATTCAACGTTTTTAAAAATTACTAGTATAATCAAACCTTAACCAAACTGCCAGGATTTTCCGTTTTGCCAGTTCAAAACTTTTTTTTGAATGCTCTAATGTGAATTTGATTTTCTTCTGTTTCAAGATAAGCTCCTTTCTGTAGGACCTAAACCTTTATTTTCCATTTTTTTAAATTTATTTTAATGTTTGTTCACAGTGATTTAAAGTTCATTAATCTTTCACATGAAAAAAAGAACTGGGGATCCTGGATTTCCCAAAGGCACGAAATCTGTACCAAAGAGGAAAAGGGAATAAAAATATAAAGAAAATCTTCTAGAAACATAAGACTAATATACTTTAATTAAATTCAGCATCCCTTTCCCATACACAAAACAATATAATAACTGAGTGAGGTAAACCCATAGGAAAGCAATATACTAAAGGCTCTGCCAGAAATTAAAAACAAAACAGGAATCCTCTGAATCTTTGGTAGCTAAGCAGGTGTGAGTACCAAATAAAAAAGTTGTATCTGTATTATAAGCAAAATAAACAAAAATTCAAATGAAAATCTAAACTTATCACTAACTTTATCAAAATGAATACCAAAGCTGGGCTCTTGGTTGGCTTACACCAATATCTCCCCAGGCACTTTTGGGTGGCTGAAGTAGGGTATGGCTGATGGCTAAAGGTAAAAGAAACCAGCCTGGCAGAACAACAGCTAATCGCATTCCCTTCAAAATATTTTTTAAAAAATTAAAGCCAAGGGCAGGAGCTGGCTTGAGTAAGAAGGAATCGCAATGAAACCAGTGAATTGGAGGTTTTTCCCAGTTAAAGCTGTGGATCACCCCCCAGCGCATCTAGCCTGGGTGAACAGAAGTGAGAACTCTGTCCCTTAAAAAATCTTTTAATTTAAAAATTGATACAGACAATCTGAATAATTATGGAAAGGAATATTACCCCACCAGAATTATAATAAATTACTGTGAATAAACAAACCTATATTAAATGGAGAGAATACAAATTAAAAGGAGTGGGAAAAGATCGTTTATTTGTGGTTGAGACGGAGGGCCCAGTCTCGCTTTGTTGCCCAGGCTAGAATGAGTGGCTGTGGCGTCAGCCTAGCTCACAGCAACCTCAAACTCCTGGGCTCAAGCAATCCTTCTGCCTCAGCCTCCGAGTAGCTGGATACAGGCATGTGCCACCATGCCCAGCTAATTTTTCTATATATTAGTAGTGGCCAATAATTTCTTGCTATTTTAGTAGAGGACGGGGTCTCGCTCTTGCTCAGGCTGGTTTCGAACTCCTGACCTTACGCAATCCACCCGCCTCAGCCTCCCAGAGTGCTAGGAATATAGGTGTGAGCCACCGCACCTGGCCTCGTTATCAATTCTCCCCAAATTATCTATAGATTCAAAATAATCCCAATCTAATTCCCACCCCAGCAAGCCAGTAGGCTTTTAAAAAAATTGACATGCTGATTCTAAAATTTGTGCAGACATACAAAGGATCTATAATAGCAAAAATAACTCTGAAAAAGAACAAAATTGGAGGGTTGATTTCAACAATTATTATAAATCTATAGTAATCAAAAGATTGTGATACTGGTACAGGTTGAATATCCTTTATCTAAATGCTTTGGATCAGAAGTGTTTCAGATTTTGGATTTTTTTCAGATTTTAGAATACCTGCATATATATAATGAGATATCTTGAAGATGGGACCCAAGACTAGACATGAAATTCACTTATGTTTCATATACATCTCATACACATAGCCTGAAGGTAATTTTAGATAATACTTTTAATAATTTTGTGCATGAAACAAAGTTTGTGTACATGAGGTAGGACGTGGAATTTTCTACATATGGTGTCATATTGGCAATCAAAAGTTTTAGATTTTGGAGCACTTCAGATTTTGGATTTTTGGATTAGGGATGCTCAAGCTATATAAAAAAAAGAAAGCCAAATACAGATGGTCAACTTAAAATGGTTCAAATTATGATTTTTCAACTTTAAGATGAGCTGATTGGGGTATTAAATGGATTTTCAACTTAGACAATGGGTTTACCAGGATGAAACCCTTATTATTAATTCAAGAAACACCTGTAGATCAATAGAACAAAACCGACATTCCAAAAATAGACCCACATATACACAGCCAACTTATATTTGACAAAGGCATAATGGCACTGTAGTGGGAACAGACAGCCTTTCGACACATGGTACTGAAACTATTGTATATCCATATCCCAAAAATGAACTTGAATCTATACTTCACACCTTACATAAAAATGAATTCAAAATGGATCATAAGCCGGGTGCAGTGGCTCACGCCTGTAATCCTAGCACTCTGGGAGGCTGAGGGCGGGCGGGTTGCATCGAGTCAGGAGTTCGAAACCAGCCTGAGCAAGAGCAAGACCCCGTCCTTAAACATAATAGAGTGAGATATGGAACATAAAAAAAAAAAAAAAAAAAAAAAAAAAAAAAAAAAAAAAAATAAAAATATATAGCAGAAGACAAAAAAAAAAAAGGATGGCAAGACAAATCGCCATAGTATAAGTCCAGACACTACAGAAAGAAGAACTACGAGGCGAAGGATTGCTTGAGCCAGGAGTTTGAGGTTGCTGTGAGCTAGGCTGACGCCACGGCACTCACTCTAGCCTGGGCAACAAGCGAGACTCTGTCTCAAAAAAAAAAAAATGGATCATAGATCTAAATGAAAGGCCTAAAACTATAAAACATATAGAAGAAAGGACAGGAGAAAATCTTTATGACTTGGTGCTAGGCAAAGATTTCTCAGATGTGACACAAAAAGCAAAATCCATAATTGAAAAAACAAATTAGTCTTTATGAAAATAAAAAGGTCTGCTCTTCAAAATATACTTCAAAGAGAATAAAAGTCAGCCTACAAACTAAGGGAAAAAATGCCTGCC